GGCAGGATCCTCTGGACTATAACCTGGCCGCCTTGAGAGACCCCCCACTCACTCCTGACTTGTGGAGGTGGCTCAGGAGTGAGGCCTGGGGGGCTCCGTACAGCAGTGGCCGCTTGGCTGAAGTGGGGGGAGGGGGCATTTTTGCCTGACGTGTAGCGACGCATGGCCTCCTCCAGAAGCCATTGCTCGACCCAAAGAAACCTGGAGAATTGGGTCCCTTCTCCCCTTTCCTTTTCCAGGGAAGCCGTCGAGAAGGGGGGAGGTTCCCCTTGGGTCCAGAAAGAGAGGCCCAACCCCAAGTACTGACTGGGCCTTGATTGCAAGGTGGCATTAACAGAATTTTTGCAAGACTGGGGGTATTTCCCTCCCCCCTCCCCTCGTTCTCTGGGAGGGTCCCTTCTGAAGGGCTTCCCTGAGAAATGCAGGTGCCCCAGCCGGGGGCTCTTCCTCCGGCCCCCCAAGGCCATTCCCACAAATCCGGACCAGAAGTCGGACTGCCCTTCGAAAGAGCCCCGAAGAAACGGCCTCTTGGCCCTTCTCCTTTGGGCTGCAGGTCATGGGGTAGTTTGGCACGTGGGTGGGTGACCTTTGGCAGAGCTGTGGTTGGGGGGTGCAACCTGTGGCTCTTTCGTTCTCTCTGGGCCTTCAAGACCCTCATCCGGGTAGTTTCTGAGCGACCAGTGGGGGTCATGAGGGGGGCACGAGGGCTCCCCTCTTGTCTCTGTGGCCGGATCCAGCTGGCGTTGGCAGTGGGGGAGAGGGGGACTCCGAGGGCCATGGGGTGAGGTCATCACCCCCCAGAAATTCAGGGCACCTGGTTTAAAGGGGCCTTAAAGCCAGGCTCCCCCCCCCGGTAAATGGGGGGAGAGGCCCCTTGTACAATGGAGCTGCTTCTGCTCCTTTTGGGATGGTGGTTATTTTCCATTTGTGGTGTGTTTAATGCCGCCCAAAGTCATCCTGCAATTGGGCAGCCTCGCAAAAGAGACAAGCAGATGAAACGGGGCTGCCAAGGCCCAGCTGGCAGGTTCGCGCTGCCCCTACTGTGCCACCCCACACCCAGGTCAACCCCTTGTAGGCATCCATGGTCCCCTTGCTGGGCCTCCTTTTGCCCTGGTGGCTCAGGGGGTGGGGGCACAACCCTGGCCAGCCAAGCAACTCAGCAGGCTGGTCCCCCCACCGGCCAAATCCGAGAGGAGTCCCTGGGAGGGCCGGCCAGGGAGGCTGGTGCCCAGTCCTCCCTCTTGAGGCAGAGAATGCCAGCCTCCCTCCACCCTCAGGGAAGGCTCAGAAAGTCAAGACCCTGGGCAGCTTCTCCTTTGGCCAGGCTGGCTCCCTCCATCTCCCCTGCCTCGCCCTCCCTGTCCCTGAAGGCACAGCAGCTGCCCCCTATGTTGGCTCTGGTCTTGGGGGCCTGAGAGACCCCCACCCAGGGCGCATCTGACCGGGAGATCCCGTTGTGTGAGCCCAAGCCGTTGGGCTGCAGTGACCAGGCCAGGTCCGGACCCCCTAATGGCTCCCAGCCTCCCTCCTCAGCGTCCCCCAGCCAGAGAGCTCATTCCTTGGAGGGGGAGGATTCTGGAAGACCCCCCACCCACCCTGGTTCCTCCACCGCCACACAAGGCCACCCTGTTGCCCAGGCAAGGAGGGGCCGGGGAAAGGAGGAGGAATCAGGAATCGGAGGCTGGGATGAGCCGGCCTCTCCCCCTCCCCTCCCCGCCAGGCCAGGCCCTCGGTGTGGCACCTGGAGCGGATCCCCTGGCACTCATTCGCCTGGCTTAGGGAAAGGGCCCTGGGGAGCCCCTGGGCTGGGCGGCCGGCAAGATTCAGCCTGTCCAGTATTGATTTTACCTATTATTACACTTCAGATTTATGGCCGGCTTTAAAATTGCAATAAGTGGTGAGCTGAGGAGGGGGGAGCGGGGGGGCTCCCTTGTGTCCTTGACAATGGCCTCCCATCCCCTCCCGCTTGCTGGGGGGGGGGGCGGGCCCGTCCCCCCCCCCCCCCGCCGGCGGGGGTGTCCGCATTCTCTTTCCTGCATCCCCCCCCAAATGGTGGGGGGGGGGGGGGGGGGGCCTGCTGGGATGGGCAGGCCAACCTCCCCCTTCATCTCCTCCTTTAGAGGTATCAATCTGGTGCCCAGCACGGCCGAAACGGACGCCTGGCGGGTAACGGCCGTTCAGAGCTGCAACAAAAAGGAGGCATTGAAATGGAAACATCCACAGCAGCAACGGAAATAAAGCCCTGTGCCAAATCTGAACTCAGGACCCATCAAACCAGGTCCTTGGGATGCCCGTCATTCACCCCAATGGCTCCCCAAAGGCCAAACCTCCAGGGAGCCCGGCGGTCAGTTTGGGCTGGAGCCGGGCCCTGCATGCCCGTCCGTGCCAAGCTACCGGAGCCTTTCTGGGCAGCCACCGGGAGGGTGGGTAGGAAGTGGGAGCAGCCGGTCCCGGAGGGCTTGGCCGCCTTCTCACCCATCCTGGTTTGCAACCCCCGTTTCCTGGAAGTGGAAAGGAGCCACGGAGCCCATCGTCCCCTGATCTGGATCGGAGGGCTGAGCAGAGACCCTCCCCAGGCCTCTCAAGGGGCTCCCAGTGGTGCCACTTGGCCGGCTGGCCTCCACTCACACCCGCCTGCATGTGCCCAGAGCAAACGGGCCCCCTCCCCGGGCAAATGGGAGCCCCTCCCCTTCCAGCCACGGTCTCTGGGGTCCCGGTGGGCTTTGGGGGGGCAGGGCAAGGGGCAAAGGGAGCATTCTGCCCTCTGCCGAGAAGGCCAGGGCTGCCCGGGGCCACCCTGGGAGGTCAGGAGGGCTATTAAGCCACAGCTTGCCTGGCCAAATTGGGCAAAGACCAAATTACCTCGTGATTTTTATGCTCCAGGCTGGCCAGGCGATTAAGGGAGGACGGGGAGCATCTGTCGCTCCATCAGAAGGCCTAATTCCAAACAGCTGGCCTGCTGGTTCTGCCAGGGCCCACCCTGCATGGCCAGGCTGGCTGTGTGGTTCAGCCAGCCCCTCCCGCCCCGCCAGCCCCTGGCCTCAAAGCAGGGCAGGAAAGCCCACTCAGGGCCGGGAGGAGGGGGGGGAGGGGGAGCTGCCTGGAGGAATTGGGGAATTGCCTTCCTGAGGAATTGGGGGGGGGGGTGTCTGCCTTCCAGCCACCCCAGGTGACCTTTAGATTCCTTATTCCCAAACTTTTATCCCAACCACTTCCAGTCAACGCCTCCACGGGAGTTTAAGCAGGTTGAACCCACACAGAAAAACGTGGTGAAACAACATGGGGGTGTGTGGGTGTGTGTGTTTTCGGCTGGAAGGGTTGGCTTGGCCCTGTTGATGCTCTTGTGAGTACACCGGCCCCCCGGCCCAAGCCCCTCCTCCGCAGACAGGGGCCCCCTAGCTCCCCGGTGGCCCCCTTGACTTCATTTCCTGCCCCTCCTCATCCTCTGTCTGGAACTGCTTGTGAAGGGCTGTGAAAGGGGTACCTCGAGGGCATCCCAACCTCTCGCTCTCTGCGCCCTTTGGCCTGGAGCCATCGAGGGAGAACTGGGGGTGGGGGGGCACAGCCCCGTGGGTTCCTCCCGGGAAAGGCTGCCTTGCCGGGGCCGGGCGACTGAAGCGGCGAGAAAGACGCGGCGGCCGCGCGGAGGGCAGTAAACGAGGCGCCGGGCCCGCGGAGGTGCCTCCCGGGCGGAGGGCAGGACGCGTGTCCCCGGCCGGGTCGACGGGGCTCCCGGCAGGCTGAACCCGGGAAGCTCCGAGGCTGCCCGGGCAAGTGGTCCCCGCGGCGGAACAGCGAGTCCGGCCAGGCGGGAGCCGCTCGGCCGGGGCTACTCGGCGCCCACCTGGAGGGGCCGCCGGAGCGCCCGGGGGAGCCGCTTCTTTTCAGCCGGCGGCCGGGCGAGGCGACCCCCGAAGCGCCCCGGGGAGGCCGTGTCCGCCTTCGCTCGACCCGGGTCCCGCTGCTGCGCTGCCCATCTGAGCCGGGGCTCGGCTGAAAGGCGGAGGTGCCGCGGGGCGGACCGGACCTCAGGGCCGGGGCTCGAGCGCAGAGCCGCCCCCTCCCCATGCCGCCTGTCAAGGGGGGAGGAGGAGGGGGACCCCCCGGGGGTTTACAAGGACGGAGAGCCCAGCCCGGCGGTGCGGAGCCTGCAGGGTTAAGGGGGGGGAAAGTGTGTGTGTGTGTGGGGGGGGGGGAATTCGCGTGAAACGTACGCGGCCCAAAGCAAACATACACCCCTCCCAAATATTTCAAGCAGCCCCGGCGCCTGGCATTCTGGACATTGTAGTCCCAGCCTTGGGGTCAAGAGGGGAAACCTGGGGGCTCCCTTATCAGTCCGCTCCACCCTTGCCTTCCCACCCCAGATAATCGAGGGTGGGGCTGAACTTAGGGAGTAACGGAAGAGGTCGGGGGCGTCCCCCCTTCCCCCCCCCAGCTCACTTGTGCTCCCAGCATAAGTGAATATTTAATGGGGAGATTAAAACCCAAATGGCAATTAAAGGTCTTTTGCAGTCGGATGCTATAGCAACCTTGGTGCCACTTGGCAAAGGGCATTAATATTTCAGAGAATAAATAATAGATGGGGAGGGGGCTGGCTGGCCTTGATCCTGCTCTCCTGCAGAATTCGGGGCTAGGATGGCTGGGAGGCCGTCTGGGAGGGCGGCAGCTGGTGCGGGACCAGGGAAGAATGGGGGGTCTCCCTGGGGGGCACCAGGGCTGGCCGATGGCAAAGGAGGACCTCACTCCTGCTCTGAGGGGGAGGAGCCTGCCCAGGAGACCAAGAGAGCAGGGGGCGGGGCTAGTACAAGTGATGGGCAGGGAGAAACACGCACGCGCACACACACACACACACACAGAGCGGAAGTGACCCCCTGAGAGGGCTACGTTGATCCAACCTGGGAGGTGGCCTGGCTGGCTTTAGGGCACAGGAGTGGCCCGTGGCCCTGGGGCAAGGGGCAGCCCAGGACAGTCGGGGGGCCAGCAGGGTCCGGGGGTGGCAGATGGGGGGGTGTCTGTCCACATGTCCCCCTGGGCTCCGCTCACTCTCTGGCCCTTCTCTCCTCCTTGCAGGGCGATGCCTGGAGCTCTGCCTCTTCCTGCTCGGCTTGGCGGTCCCGGCCTTTGAGGGCTGCCCCAGCGACTGCGTCTGCTACCCTTCGCCCATGACGGTCAGCTGCCAGTCGCACAACTTCCTGGCCATCCCGGAGGGGATCCCGGCGGAGAGCGAGCGCATCTTCCTGCAGAACAACCAGATCTCGCTGCTGCTGCGCGGCCACTTCAGCGCCTCCATCGTCACCCTCTGGATCTACTCCAACAACCTGACCTTCATCGACCCCAAGGCCTTCCATGGCTTCAGCCGCCTGGAGGAGCTGGATCTGGGCGACAACCGGCACCTGCGGGAGCTGGCAGCTGAGACCTTCCAGGGGCTGCTCCACCTCCACGCGCTGCACCTGTACAAGTGCGGCCTGAGTGCCCTGCCGAGCGGGCTCTTCCGGGGCCTGCACAACCTGCAGTACCTCTACCTGCAGGACAACCACCTGGGCTACCTGCAGGAGGACCTCTTTGTGGACCTGGTCAACCTGAGCCACCTCTTCCTGCATGGCAACAAGCTCCGGAGCCTCCAGCCCGACACCTTCCGGGGCCTGGTCAGCCTGGACCGGCTGCTGCTGCACCAGAACCAGCTGCAGAGCGTCCACCGGCTGGCCTTCCACGACCTGCGCCAGCTGACGCTCCTCTTCCTCTTCAACAACAGCCTGGCCGAGCTGCAGGGGGAGGCCCTGGCGCCCCTGGCCGCCCTGGAGTACCTGCGCCTGAACGGGAACCCCTGGAGCTGCGGCTGCCGGGCGCGCTCGCTCTGGGACTGGCTGCGGCGCTTCCGGGGCTCCAGCTCCTCCGTCCCCTGCCAGGGCCCCCAGCCCTTCCACGGCCGGGACCTGAAGGAGCTGCCGGCCGACACCTTCCGGGGCTGCTCGGCCTCCGAGTCCCTGCACCAGACCCACGGGCCCCAGCTGCCCCCCAGGGACCACCCGCCCCTCCTCTCTCCCTCCACGGAACAGGAGGAGGGCACCGCGGGGGGCCACGGCACCCAGTCTGGGCAGCGCCCTGGATCCCGCAAGAGCCTGAAGAACTGCACCAAGAGCCGCAACCGGAGCAGCCGGCCAGCCTCCCGGGGGCCCTGGAAGAGCGCCGAGGAGGCGCAGGACCTGAAGCACCAGCCCGACCTGGGCCGGCTGCCCAAGCCGAAGGGCAAGTGCCCCCGGGCCCCCGTGCTGCCCCCCAGTGGGGTCCAGCAGGCTGCGGGAGGGGGCCGGAGCTTAGGGGGCCGGGCCACGCTGACCCTCCATGCTGCTGTCCTGCTCTGGACCCTGGCCTGGGGGGCGATCTTCCGCTGACCGGGACTGCCTACGCTGACCCTCCGCTCTTGAGCACCAGGGAATACTCTTCCCCCCCCGGGGAGGGCTCGGCCGTGTGGGGCAGCCTCTGCCACCTGCCTGCCCCCCAGCCCAGTTGGTGGCTGTCCAGGGCAAACCAGGCGCGGGATTGCTCAGTTGGGACTGCCCTGCGCCTTGGGTGTGAGTGGCGTGGCGTGGGGGGTTAGGAGCCATGCCAGCAGCCCCCCCCCCCCACCAGCGCCCAGCTCAGCTCCCAAAGAAAGGAAGGCAAGACTGTCCCTGCCCCTCCCCAGCCGGCCTGAAGGGGCCCATCCTAAGCAGGGCTGCAGACTCTGCCCCTCCCTGCCCGTTCTCGGCCTGTGGAGACCAAGTGAGGCCCTGCAGGCCCCGGAGGAGACCCCGGGGTGCGGCTGCCCAGCCTCCCCTCCCCCAACCATCTGGAAGGAACGCCAGCTGCTCGTTCAGCGCCAGTAGGCCCGCATTGGACCCAGGCTCAGGATGCCTCTGCTTCGCCCCTGGCAGGGAAGCCCAGCCGCCCCCGGCCGGCCCCTCCCGGCCCCCAGAAAGCCAGGCAGGCTGGCTGGGCAGAGGGAGGCCTGGGAAAACTCTCGAGCGAGCAAAAGGCGTCTCCGTTCTTTTGTAACCTCCGTGTCCACGCATAAAGTAAAGCCGCTGCACAGGTTCCCGGCCTCCTTGGCCAGGCGTGTCTTGCGTGATGCGTCCGGACGGCAGGGATGAAGCTGGGGCTCAGGACAGACGGAAATGGGAGCGGGGGGGGCAGGGGGCGCGGAGAACGGGTCCAGTGCTGGCTCTTCCTTTGGCTAAGGTGCTTCTGGCTCCCTGTGCAAAGGAGCGCTTGACCCTCCCTTGGGGACAAAAGTCGGGGGGGGGGGGGGGGGGGGGGGGGGCCCGCCCCCGCGGGGGGGGGGGGGGGGGGGGGGGGGGGGG